ATCAAGATAGTCTCTTCAATAAATGATGTTGGGAAAATTGGACAGATACATGCAAAAAAATGAAACTAGACAACCAACTTATACCATACACAAAAATAAACTCAAAATAGATAAAGGACTTAAGAATAAGATGGGAAACCATAAAAAACTTAGAAGCTATAGGCAGCAAAACAGCAGACATTTGTCGTAGCAATATCTTTACCAATACAGCTCCTAGGGCAATGGAAACTAAGGAGAAAATAAACAAATGGGACTACATCAAAATAAAAAGCTTCTGCTCAGCAAAAGAAACAATCAACAAAACAACAAGAAGGCCCACTGCATGGGAGAACATATTTGCCAATGTTATCACCGATAAGGGTTTAATCTCCAACATTTACAGGGAACTCATGCCACTTAACAAATAGGAAGATAAACAATCCAATCAAAAAATGGGCAAAGGGCCTAAATAGACACCTTTCAAAAGAGGACATTCAGAAAGCCAAGAGACATATGAAAACTGAAAACATGTCACTAATCATCTGAGAGATGCAAATCAAAACAACAATGAGGTACCATCTCACACCTATCAGAATGGCTATCATCAACAAATCAACAAATGACAAGTCCTGGCAAGGATGAGGAAAAAAAGGGACCCTCTTGCTCTGCTGGTGGGAATGTAGACAATGATGCAGATACTGTGGAAAACAGTATGGGATTTCCTCAAAAAATTAAAATGGAACCTCCATTTGACCCAGTAATCCCACTTCTAGGACTATAGATCAAGAAATCAAAAACACCAACCAGAAAGGATATATGCACTCCTATATATCCTTATGTTCATAGCAACACAATTTACAATAGCTAAGATTTGGAAATAGCCCAAGTGCCCATCAGTAGATGAGTGGATAAAAAAGCTGTAGAAAGGAAAGAGGTGAAGTAACAACCGACACAGAGACATACAAAGGATTGTAAAAAAGTACTACGAACAACCCTACTCCAACAAACTGGACAACCTTGACAAAATGGACACATTCCTAGAAAAATACAAGCTTACAAAACTCAATCAGGAAGAATAAAAATTTGGAAACAGCCTAAGTGCCCATCAGCAGATGAGTGGATTAGA